GAGGAAGGAAAGGAGAGTGCCAGGGACTGGCCACGTCCCACAGATTCCCCGCACCCTTGTGAGGTAACACAGTGCCGGGGTGCCCAGGAGGAAAGCACCCCAGACAGGCCTGACCACCAGGGTGGCCGTTGGGTCTAGACCGGGTTGGCTGCTCAGTGAAGGGCTTAGGGGGTTGTCGAGGACCGGTCCTGACATGTGGGGGGGGGCAGCGCTGCAGAGCGGAAAGACAGGGCCCTCACGGCTCCCTCACTGCTCCCGAGAATGGGAACGAGTGACCCTCACCAGGTGCCCCTGCACCCTGAAACTCAGGCCGGACCTGGGTGTTCCTCCATCAGCCCCAGGGGGCCCGGAGTGTGGGACAGGCGAGGGGCGGGCAGGGGCATTGCAGAGAGGGGGCAGGGGCAGGAAGATGGCCCAGGGCCTCGAGGAGGCTCTGAAGGAGCCGTGGGACCTCTCCAGCTTTGGGGTCCCCACCTGCATGTGGGGGCGACGGCTGGTGGTGGTGAGTCTGAAGCAGCCCCCTCCCCCCCAACCTTCTCTGCTCTCAACATCGCGCCTGGCCTAGGAGCCGTGGAATTTGGGAGCTGGAAGGAACCGCGGAGGTGGGTCATCCGGCCTGACTCCCTCCTTCGGAGCGAGGCTCAGCCGGTGGCCTCCCGCCCACCGTGCGCCCGGACCCCTGACGCCCAGCCCGGGGCCGCATCTCAGCATCGCTGCTGTTGCCAAGGAGACGGGCCATGCAGACACTGCCCGCCGGAGCCTGGTTCTCCCCGGAGGGGCTGTGGCACCTGGGGCAGCCCTTCCGCCCCCGCGGTGGGGGTGTGGGGCTGGCAGAGGAGCCACAGCCATTTGTCTGAGAGCCCCGAGCGTCCTGAGGAGTAATCAAGATCGCGCTGGCCGCAGTCGGGAGAAAACCTGTAATTAATCTGACTGCCCCTCTCATTGCCTCCGTCCTCCGCCTCCACACGCCGTCTGGTTGCTGCCAGCCGGGCTCCAGCCCACTGCGGAGTGTGACGATTGATGGTCCCTTGGCCCCGAGAGGGGCGCGGGTGGGCCAGTAGCGGGAGGGACCCTTCAGGGGGACCCTCTCTGGGGGCGCTCATGGTGTCTCCGCTCCAGACAGGCACACGGCAAGTGGGGGGGGCACGCGATGGACACCCCAGGGACCCGCCCCCCACACCCCCGGTCAGCTGCAGAGTTAAATAACCAGCTAACCAACAGCCCCGGGCTCTGTTGTGGGTGCCGGGTGCAGCTGCCGACCCTGGCTGGGAAGACCACCCTGCCTCGTGCAGCTTCCATCTGGGGTCCGGGAAGCGGCTCAGAAGTGTGAGATCGGAGCGAGACACAGGAACGAGACACTTTGGCCCAGCCTTGGGTTCAGAACAAAGGGGAACGGGGCCCGGAGAGGGGTCTGCTGCAGGTAGCCGGCGGGCAAGGGTGCCGGCCTCTCCCAGAAAGGCCTCTTGCACATCCGCTCTCTACTGGGACCCCTTGCTCTCCGCGAGGCTCTGTGAGTGCCTCTCTGTGATGGGGCTCAGCAGAGGCCCCAGTGGGTCCCCGCGCTCCGGATACTGTCACCCCGCCAGACAGCGCTGACAGCCCTCTTGGGTGGGCTCCCAGCTGCCTCCACTGCGTGGCCACGCACTCAGACACGGAGTCGCATAGGAGGTTCTGTGCCTGCTTGGATCGCCCTTGGCTCCGCCCACATGCCCTGTTCACCTGCAGCAGGAGCCTCTGGCCAGACACCCTTGAGTTTGACCCTGCGTCTCCCCGAGCCCCGATTCCCGCGTCCGTGCGGCTGGCACACCCGCCACCCGCCCTTTCCGGGGCTGGCAGGTTGGTCGTGAGTCATGAGTCATTATCGAGGCTCCCTGCTGGTCCTGCCGGCCTGTGATCCCCGGAAGGAGCCGGGGAGATGCGTGAGCCTCCTGGCCGTGCAGGTGTGTGGAGGCGCTGCTTGTGAAGGCGTGTGGTACTGTGTCGGGCCTGCGGCGCGCCGCTTGCCTCCTTCTCCTCCCGCTACGGCTGCGATTGCCCTTTGCCCACGTCCTCGGCCCTTTGTCTGCTTAAGCGGTCCGTTGCAACGACAGCGAGTCCTCCAAATGTACCGGCCAAATGGGTCATTCCTTTTCATCTCGGTGAACTCGGAAAGTGCCTCTTGGCCACCACCTGCTCCTTCATTCATTCCCCCCAGCCTTTATGGCTCCGGTGGGGTGCCAAAAGGACGGTGCGAGGTGCCCGCCCCGGGGCCTGCTCTCAGCTATGCGTGGCTGCCAGCAGGAATGCCCCAGGCGTGGGGGCAGTTCTGCAGTGAGGCTGGGGGGAACTGTGTCTAGAGGGGAGGCGGGGTGCCCCCGTGGAGGGTCCTGTGCAGTGGGGTAGCAGAGAGGGGGCACAGAGGCCAGAGCCTGGTGGGGCCCCTGTGGGAGCCGGGGGCTTGTCCTCGTCCTGGAGACCCTGTTGCTGTGAGCTGTGTTTTACAAAAGCTGGAAGTGGGAGCCGGGAGAGCAGAGCCTGGGGGCGGCTGGGGCGTAGGGGGAGGAGCGTCTGGGCCACGGCGGGCACAGCTGCCAGGATTGGGGCTCTGGGTAGATGTGGGTGTGGGGAGGGAGAAACCCAGGTGCCGCCCGCCTGGGGCTGGCGGAGGGGCCCTTGGTGGGGCGTGGGGAGGGCACCTTCTTCCCCTGTCAAGAGGTGTGAGACTTGGGGGTGGGGGTAGGTGCTCACAAGCGCCCCCTGCAGGTGGTGAGACGCCAGGGGGGGGAAGGCCTCAGAGGCGGGGCAGTGGGGGGCCTGGGTGCGCTCGGAAGCCAGAAATTTAATAACCACGGATAAATTTAGTGGCTTATCTGGTATATTACTGGTTACCAATCCTGAGGACTCAAGTAGGATCAGCTAATAGAGATGGCACTTTGGGCTCTGAAGTTCCTAAGAGGAATCCGTCCACCAACGGAAAACAAGACCCGCAGTTTCTTGGAGCGTTCTGAGAAAGAGGCACAAAGTCTCGTCTCTCCGCTCATCTGTCAAACGACGAGGCTGAGAAAGGAAGGGCAGAGGGGAAGCCGGGAACAGCGGCCCGCGAGCCGGGTGTCCCTGCAGCCCCGCGGGCACCCGCGACTGACCTCTCTCTGGTTAAATAGGACATGCTTGCTGCTTTTACTTTTGTGTGTTGGGGGCAGGCGGAGCTTCTGTCTCGTCACTGTGTGCACGATGCCCCCCCCCCCCCCCATGGAAAGCTGAGAGCAGCCTAGGAGCTCAGCCACCGTCGCCCGTATCCGTGGCCTTGGCCAGCCAGGGGGCCACGGGCCGTGGAAGTCGGGCCTACCCTCGCAGCCGAGTCTGTCCTCAGACAGAATCTGACACCTCCTTAGCAGGCTGCGTGGAACGAGGGTGCAGCATGCAGATCGGGCACCGTGGAAGGCGTTCGACATAAATTATGATATTTAGTATTGCCTTTATGCCGCCTAATCAGATTGTTACAGTTCTCTCCTCTCTGACAGTTGGCTCATTTATCCACTCAGCAAGCATTTGTCAAGACTGTACTGTATGCCAGGCGCCGTTCGGGTTCCCAGGAGGCGGGCCTGCAGGGCGCCTGCCCCCTGCCCCCTGCCCCAGGCGGAGAGGCGGCTTGTGGCGTGACCTTCTCGTGCCCCTCCCTCTCACCAGAGCGCATCCTTCCCGAGGGCCGCCCGAGTGCCCGGGGCAGAGGCTGGCCTTCTCAGGCTGCAGGGCCGCGGCCCCTTTTCCTCTCCCACCTGGGGTCTCCCCGTTCCTGTGCAGGTGTTGGTTGGGCACCGACAAGTGGACTGAGTCCTGGGGAGGTGCAGGTGCGGACTCCGAAGCGGGGATGCCTGTGGGGAGAGTCGCGGTGAGAGGCCTCTCCGTTGTCTGCCCCTCAGGGAGCACACACTCCGTTTCCTGCCCTGTCATGCCCATCTTTGTGTGCTGGGCAGGGGTCCAGGGGCTGCACACACAGCCCCGCCTGTCGTGTTCCCTCTGGCCTGGGGTCGCTGAGTGATCCAGGGGGTGGTGGCCGCTTCTGGGCACACTGGCGGGGGTGCTTCCTGTTTGTTCACTTAAGAGAGATTTCCAGCAGGGGTGTTGAGTGATTTTTTTTTTAAGTAAAAAGGGGGTGGAGGGCCACTATTCTGGGACTATGTATGTTAATCCAGTTTCTAGGAAACAGTCTGAGCCGTGTGCATGTCCCCCGACCCCTGACCCCTGACCCCAGGTGAGAGCTGGTGCTTCCTGTCCTTGCCCAGGCTGGCGGCTGCTGTTCTTTCATCCTTGCACGGTGTCCTGGGGGTCGGGTGCTGCTCTCAGTAGCGTCCCCTGATGTCCCAGGAGGCAGAATGTCTGTTACGGTGGTTCTGGGGGGTGGTCGTCGGGGAAGCGTCTGTCCAGCCTTGACCCTTTTTGCGGGGTCAGGGTTGCTCCCCAGCAGGGCTCTGGAGGTCCAGGGCCCACTGGTGATTCTCTCGTGTGCAGCATAGGGTGCAGTGCTGCTCGGGGCAGGGGCTTTGCGTTGCCAGGGGTTGGAGCTGAGCTGGGTGTGTGCCAGGCGTGGGACCCCAACTGCTGCATGTCTCCTGGCCCGGCCATTGGCGGCGTGGACTCTGCTGACTAGGGGCTGGGGGGGGTGGGCACTGAGGGACCCCGAGAGGGGAGCGCAGCTGTCTGCCCGCAGGTGTGGGCTCAGCGAGGGGACGTCTCCTGCTGATGGGGGGGCAGGCGGGGACCATCCAGCTCTCAGCATGGAGCCAGGGCGGGGTGGGCAGGCGCTGTGCTGTCTGTGGGGAAGGGGCGAGCTCTGAGCTGGAGCAGCTTCTCCTTTGGGTGGGGGGACCCGGGGCTGGGGCTCTGTGTGTGAGTGTGCCGGCTCGGCTGGGGGGGCCGAGTTGGGGGCTTGGTGAGAGACATGGTGGAGGCGCGGACTGAGCAGCGGTGGGCGTGAGGCCCTGCCCGGGGGTCCTGGCTGACGCGCTGTCCCTGTCTTGCAGAGTAATGTCATGCCCAGACCAGCAGGGGGCTCCATGAGGAGTGTCGGAAGATGCCCCGCGTCTCGGCGCCTTTGGTGCTGCTCCCGGCGTGGCTCGTGATGGCCGCCTGCAGCCCGCACTCGCTGAGGATCGGTAAGTGCTGGGAGCACACACGGGGGGCCGGCGCCCCTCACCTGCCGTCCCAGAGCCAGGCGGGGCCTCGGGGAGGCACCGGGCAGGTGTCCAGCTCCCGGTGATGGGACAGAAGCTGCAGGCACCTCCCCTGGTGCCTGTCCCCAGCTCAGCTGGCCCCGGGAGCGGCGGCGACCAGGGGACGGTGGGGACAGCCGTGAGGTCCCGGCTGTAGGTCTCACTCCACCCAAGAAGCCCGCGGCTGAATGTGGCTGTCCTCGAGCCCAGGCTCAGCAGTGTCCTTGGCTGGAGATGGGCCCCTCCTGGTCACTGCTTGATCCCGACCCTGCTTGCCGTGGATGCTGGGGAGGCTTGGCCAAGCCACAGACGGATGCTCTGGGGGTGCCTGTCCATCCGGTGGGGGACGCAGGTCCAGTCTCCACACCCTACGCCTTTGCCAGCCGGGAGAGCAGAGCGGTGGGCACAGGCGGGTCCTGCATTCACACAGCAGCCCGAGAGGGCCGGGGCGTTTCTGTCCAAGAACCTGTAAGCGGGGAGGGCACAGCGCCAGGCTAGGGGGCCGACGGTCAAGTCAGGGCGGGGTGGGGGCTCTGCAGGAAAGAAACAAGGTCGGGAGGGGGCCAGGGTCCGAGAAGGGTGGAGAAACGCTGGCCCACATCTCCCTCGTTCCTGCTGTGGGGTCAGACCAGGCCGTCGGCTCAGGTGAGACGGGGCAGGTGAGCACCACAAGTGCTCGTCGATCTGAGCGTGTGCGGGGGTCGCTGATGGGCACCGGAGCCTGGACGGGCACCTGCATGCGCCCGGCCCGCCCCGATTTCCCACCCGGCACGCCTGGAAGACGCGCGTGGCAGAAACAAAACCCTCCGCTCCCTGTCCCCCCATTCATCTCTCCTGAAACTTCCAAAGCTCATTTAATGCTGCTTAGCGGCAAGGCAGAGACCGATGCGTATCCTAAGACGCCTAATTTATAAGATGCCTCCAGTGACTCCGCGTCTGCCGTGGCGTGCCTTCCCCTTGCCAGGACGGGGTCGAACCCTTGCCGCCGGTTTGTTTGCGTTTGTGGGGGAGGGCCCCTCTGGCTCTGTCGCCCGCGTGGGGAGGGGCCCGCCAGCTCTGTCCTCACGCTGAGGGCCCCGCGCCGTGGTTTATGCCGGGCCACGTCCAGCCTGTTTCCAGCCTGGGCCTTGCTGGCTGGCACTGTTTAGCCCACTGGTCTCCTGCAGTGCCTCCCGCCGAGGCCGGAAAGCAGAGCCGGAGCCTCAGAGAGGGCGAAGAAAAGACCCCTGGGCGGCATTGCCGGGCCGGCTTCTCCCGGGATGTGGGCACTTTCTGAAAGGATGGAAAAATGCTAATTACGGGAACCCGGGAGGGACCTGGGGGAGGGCTGGCGGGGGGAGAAGTAGGTCAAGGAGACGGGAGGTGGCACTGCCCCCGGAGCCTGAACCCTGGTGGGCTGCTGGGGGCCCGGCCCAGGGACTGAGGAAAGGGGCTGCCACCACTCACTGTTCCCGGGGCCCCTCCCAGGGAGACAGACTTGCGAGACGTATGGGCCCGCCGGCTCCCACCGCAGCGTCCCTTGTCTGCGGTGACAATACGGATGTCTGTACAGAGCGGCCAGACCCATTACCCGGCCCGGGGACCGCTGTTTGTCATTCAAGCGAGACGCGGGGCGGGAGACACAGCCAAATTGTCTCTTGCAGTGTCCGGTGTTTACCCCCCGAATGAGCTTTTGGGTAAGAGAAAGGGATTTTATTTATGGCTGCCAGGCTGCGCGCATAAATCCCCCAAACTCTCCCACATGTGTCAGCTGCCTTTGCCCATTGATCTCCCAAAAATGACACTGGATTTTTGCTTCTGTCCCTCGGGGTCTTCTGCGCGTCGTCTCTGGGAACCACAAGTTAATAAATGTGCCTGGGGGACCCCGCTGGGCCCCGCCAGCTGCCCCTGGAGCCTCGGGCCATCAGGTCTCGGGCTTGCGCACTGCCCCTGAGAGCTGGGTCCTGGGTCAGGGCCCGGGACGTCCAGCCTGCGGCCTCTTAGCTCTGTGGAAGCAGGAGCATCCGTGGGGCGAGCCTGGGTGTGCTGCTGGCGTCCGTGGGCCACCCTGCCCTCCGCGGGGTCCCCGTGTCCTGTGCCTGTGGCGTCACACCACTGTCAGGCCGGCTCCCAGGGCCAGGAGTGGGCTCCCAGGGGCCACGGAATCGGGGCAAGTCACTGCCACTTCTGGGCTGTGGGTCGTGGTGGTGGTGGGGCCAGGTCAGTGGAGGGAAAGGAGAAAATAGAGACCGGGAATTTGGTGTGCTCCAAGAAGCGTTCATGGTGCAGGGGCAGCTGGGGTCCCGGAGCTCCCAGGGGCTGGGTGCAGCTTTGACTCCATTCTCCTGCTCCCCAGGGCTGTGTCACTGACGTGGCCGTTGTCAGATCTGCCTGTCTGGCATGCCCGCATGGGTCCCAGGGATGTGTAGGGGCCCGAAGCCCGACCGGCGCTTTCCGTTGTTATTTTATGCTGTTCCGGTGGGGACTTGGCTGCACTGGTTTTGCTCAGCACTTACTCCTGGCCCAGTGCTCCTGTTCATGGACCATCGGATGCCGGAGATGGAGCCTGTATCACCCCTGTACAGAGCAGTGTCCTCTGCACGGTCCTGTCACTGCACGGATGTCCTAGGCCAGCTAGACAAGAGACAGGGCTGGCCTGGGCTCCCACAGGGACTCCCCCTGCCCCCTGCTGGTAAACCCAAATGGCCCTGGGCCCTGGCCTGGGATGGGTCTGCTGCCCCCACCCCAACCCCCAGCTCAGTCTCAGACGTCGGCACACTGTTCGCAGGCAACGTCCCAACTGGGGGGGGTGCAGCCCCCAATCCCCACCACGCTGGTGGTCTCCTGTCCGGAGACGGCTCACGGTCGCTGGCCTTCTTCCCTTTCCACACAGCAGACACTGCTCTAGCCGGGCCGCTCGCCCCCGTCCCCGGCCCTGACTGACCACTCTTGGGGTTACGGAGAGCCTTCTTGGGCTTTCCATGGGCTGGTTTGGGCCCAGGGCCGAGGCTGCCCCTGCCCGAGCCCCGCTGCTGCCACCTGCCAAGGAGCCCCAGAGCCAAGGAGTGGGGTTGGGCAGCCCCCAGGCACCCTCGGAGGCCGGGGCGTCACACTGGGCTGGGCCGGCGGGAGGGAGGGATGGAACGCCGCTTTGCTGGAAACACTCGTAAATTTGCTTGGTGGCAGGATCTGACAGTGTGAGACTTTGAGCTCTCAGCCCACAGATGAAAGAGCAGGGATTTCCCAGATGACACGCAGGACGTGCAGCCCCGGGGGCCTCCACGGGGAAGTGCCGCGAAGCTCTGCCAAGCAGCACCTCGGGTGGGGCCCTCCAGGGGTGCCCCCGCACGGATGTCCCAGGCCAGCAGGCTGGGCAAGGGACAGGGCTGGCCGTGGGAAGTCCCCCCGCCCCAGCGCACCCCTGGGCTGATGAACCCGAAGGGCTCCGGACCCTGAGTGCTGCGGGGGCCACACCTGCCGTTCAGGGCCGACTCAGCACCTCAGAGACAGAAGGGCCAGGGATGGGTCTGCTGCCCCCCCACCCCATTTCAGCTCTCACCTGCCCTGGGAATGAGCGGCAGAGACCCCCCCCCCCCCCCCCAGGAGAGGTGGACGGGGCCGTTCTGATGGGCGGTCAGGGGCATGCAGGGCGGCTGTGACCTGGTCGTTGCAGCCGGGGTGGGCCTGGGGCTTCCTGTGGGGCCCCCAGTGGGGCGCCTCTTCCCAGGGAGCCCCAATTTGTGACCTGGAGGACGTCCACCCCTGGGATCTGGCTGCAGGGCTGGGCCGAGGCGGTGGGGGTGTGGCTCTGCTCTCCGCTGCTCCCTCCCTCTAAGGCCCTCCCTCTAAGTGCTTGAGGGTTACTCCCGGCTCTGTGCTCAGGGGATCCCGTGGGTGCTGGGGATCAAGTCTGGGTTGGTTGTGTGCAGGACAAGCGTGTCCCCACTATGCTCCCTCCAGCCCTGGCGCTCAGCTCTGCCCCCCGACCCCCGGACGCTTCCAGCACGGGCCCCTGGGAGGGTACTTGGCCTCTGCTGGATCCTTCGAGGGCGCGGTGCTGTCCCGGGGCTGTGCAGGGTCAGGCGTGGCACGGAGTGGCCCATCCTCTGGGGGCGCTCAGCACCTCAGCCCCGGCGTGTGCCACAGCGGTTCAGACAGCATGGCTGGCGCCCAGCTCTCAGTGATGTCCAGGTTCTGTACGTCTGGTCTGTCCAGTGGGTGTGATCCCCGACACCTCCCCCCCCCTCCCCCACCGCCGGGCCCCGTGAGGCATGTGTCCATGTGTTGTGGGTGCTGTGGGACTGTCAGCAGGCCTGGCTCCTTGTACGGCCACCAGCACGGAGACGGTCCCTGTGCTCCACTGCCCTTGGCCCGTATGGGGCTCTCACAGATCCCAGCTGCCGGCACTCCCTGCCCAGGGCCTTAGACAGCGTCTCTCTCTGTTGCATGGCCTCTGTCCAGCGACCAAGGCCGAGCTCCTGTATGGGGGCCTCGCAGGCATGTGGTCACGGTCCCTGCTGGCCTGGCTCCTCTGCATGGCTCGGTTCTCCCGAGAGGCCCAGGAGGCCGTCCCTCCCTGCTGGGGGGCCGTGGCAGGCAGCTCCTCGCTGTGTGGATTTAGAGAACCCGGACCCCCACCCCCAACACTCCCTGGTGTCGCCTGCCCATGCTGGGGTCTGGGTCACATGACAGTCCCTTCTGGAGGTCCTGCTGTGGGGCCTGGAGAGGGTGCGCCCGAGTCCCTGTAGACGGTCTCCAGTCCAGCACGGTCCTCGCTAGCCGCCAGTGCCGGCCTCACCTGGCCCTCCTGTTCCTGTGGACAGGGCCTGCCCCATGGCGACCCAGGAAGAGGATCTTCCAGGGTCACTTCCCCGGGGCGAAAGGGGGTCACTCAGGGGAAGGATCTGCTCTGGGGCTCATGCAGTGACGGTGGCCCAGGCAGTGGCACGTGTCCCCAGGGGTCC